CTTAGTTTAAGTTATAAGATTTAGAGTACTCTGCCAGGGGCTGCAACTGGCTCACGTCTAGATATTAGCAGAAAAGGATGCTAGCTGGAAAGGTATAGGAAATTTGGAAATCACATTACTAGCATTAGTCCTCTCTATTCGACTTGCCCTTCCTTTAATTAATGGTAATTATTTAGAGGCCCTTATAAGTTGCACATAACAAGCAAATAAGCCCAATAGAAAAAAAAGGGACTAACCAAAATGACATATACATCTATACTTACCCAATTACTCTACCATATTGACCTTGCCCACCACTTTGCTTCTTGTGTAGATAATCAAAATCTGCTCTCTTGGTGATGGTTTCCCTGAAGTTTACACGAGGCTTTCCAACCTGAGCTTCAACCTTAACAAACACAGAGAAAGTAAGAAAAGGATCAAACAAATGATGATGCACGACGAAAATAACTATAATCAAACAAATGATGATGCACGACAAAAATAACCATCTGTGAAAAAGAGGATGAACCTTATATTCCCTTCGGATGCGCTCAACATATATGTCCAGATGCAGCTCCCCCATGCCAGATATGATTGTCTGCTCAGGAAACCATTGAGACATTGAGAGACTCACTCCATAAGATCGACAATTCCCATAACATTCTAAATATGGAGCCCACATGTGGGGTAAACAAAACATACCTCACCACTCTCAGCATCTAAACCCACACGGAATGTAGGATCCTCCCTCTGAAAGCGATTTAAAGCTTTTGAGAACTGCCAACCAAAAAGAGACAACAATTATAATAGGCTCAAAAAACAATGGCATAGAGTGCGCACCTTGTAGATCCAACAGAACAACAGGTTCTAGCATGAGCACTCACTTGACCACCAGAGTCTTTAGAAACCGGTGAAACAGCTAATGACATCACTGGTTCAGGGACATTCATAGAAGTCATGGTGTATTTAACTGATCCATCAGTAAAAGTATCCCCTGCAAATGGATCAGAACTAAGCATCAGAATACATCACAAAGAAAAGATATATGCTTCTTCTCACTAAGTCATCTAAGGATAGAATAAGATGTTACCTGAAGCACAATCTACACCAAACACAGCAACTATCTGCCCAGCATGAGCCTCTTGGATATCCTATGTTGAGTTGACATACATTTCTAAAAGATAAGAAAGATGGCCAATTGGGAAATACCGATAATCCAGGCAAAAGATTCATTTTGTCCCCTACTAAAATCTATTTAAATTTCCTCCAAGGTTCATTCAATTAAAGAGTAACACAAAATATATATTGTCCAACATAGTCAGATAAAATGAATTTAGTCAAGAAGTCAAAAGCACAAGGCGTGGCTGACAAACCTCCATCTCATTTGAATGCATTCTGACCAGACGAGGAACCTACAAAAGAAATTCAGTTGAACCTGGGATTAGAACAGCAGAATAACAAATAAGACTAATTTTTCTAATAGTATGCAATAACAGCAAGCATATTCTCCACGTAAATAAATCACACGTACACGATTGAGTGGATGACTCGAACAAAGACATAGGTTATGTTGGTATCTATATCACAAAGTAGAGAACAGGTTTTTTCAGATATTTTTCCCCTTGCATAAGGTCCTTACAACAAATCTTAACTTCTAACTTCCTTTTGAACTCCCTCCCATCAACCAGCCGCAAAATCAAAGGAGCTTTTATTCTCGGGGTATGTAGATACTTATCAAAAAAACCGGGTATGCCAATCCACCGTATTCATGTACCTTTTTTAATAAGGGTCTACGAATACGGTGAATCGACATACCCGAAATTTTCTTTTGATAAGTATCTATATATACCTATTCATAAGTTTGTATCAACGAAGTCTTTTTTCCACAAGTAAATTTTTGCAATTCCACATCTTCTTTAACCTGATACCTTTGGACAGGCCATATTCTCAACCCACCTGTGGCTTGCTACCTGGACAAACTCTCCTTTCCTTTTTTTTGTGCTAATAGATGATTCTTATAAAGGGCGACTGACACGCATAAGGAATAACCAGCATCCCAGTGAAAGCCAATGGAATGAGTTAGCGAACAAGTGAAGCAGAAACAAGTTTTTTTTTTCGAATAAGCAGAAATAACATTTGTTGAATAGAATATAACAAGAAAGCATTATCAATTCAGAGAGGCTGGAAATGTTCAGAGAAGAGTACACTTCACAGGAACTGACCAGAAAACCAAGAAAAAGCAGGGTGTCTCATAAACCTGTGAATTTGGTAAACACGGCAACCATGAAAACCTCCAAAAAAAATTATAGAGTTACAAAGCAGCCTCAATCCAAACTAGTTCGGATCGGCTATCAATATAAAAAAATATCAATACCAGTAGACACCAAACAAATTCAAGTGGTGAAACTATAAAACAAATATACACTTCAGATTTATAGAGATCATTGTGAGTATGTATATAAAATTGATTTGACATGCTTAAAATCACCATAAGGTCAAAGGCAATGCATTCAGATGCTAAACTGACATGAGATATTTTGGCTCAAAATGATTGATTCTATATCAGAAAGATGAGTTCAATTGAGCTCACCTTAATCCTCTTCCCAGTGTTCACGTTGATTATAAAATCGCCCTTCCGGATGACACCTTCATAGATTCTTTGATGGAAGATTATGTCAAATTGTGTGTTCTTGCTAAGTGCACATACACAGAAACAGTTACACAAGAAATAAGTTTATATACCTTAAATAGGTCAATTGACCAAAACGCCCTTCCTCTAATTTAAATGCCAAGGCAACCAGAGGGCCAGTGGGGCTTCCGGTTAATGTAACCTAGCAACAAATTAGCACAAAAAGACGTTAGTCTCTACATCTGTACATGGAGGAAAGGAAAAAGTAGGAACTCAATCAAAAGAATTATCCACTAACCTTCTCTTCATTCTTTGTTTGATCCAGAGCATAGTTGCTAACTTCAACTGGACAAGGCAAATAATTGAGAACACCATCAAGAAGTGTTTGAACTCCCTGTTTAGCACAAAATAACAGAAAGTACAGATGTAAAATTGCAACCACTGAAGCGTAAGGGAATTATACATTTAAGGAAGAAACGGGTTGTTGTACATGATAGGTAAACATAGTGAGGAAAAAAGGCAATAAAATGCAGCAAATGGTCACTTTCCTTAGGATACGACAACACGTGTCTTTGAATGGATGAAATTAAAGGCAGGTCGAAATTGTTAATTGAAAATCAAGAACAGAATCGAGCATTAAATTGTGCCAAATCAAGCATCAGCAGAGAAAAGATAGCCAAGCAACACCAGGAATTTTAGAACGGCAAGCAGGCAAGAACAAGATATACGCCAATATAGGATTAAAAAAACCATGAACAAGGAGAATTTTTTTTACCACTAAACAAGTAGTCAAATGCAAGAGTGCATTAAGGAGAGAGTACTGTTTGCCTCACAGCTGTAATCATTAAGGATTCAGTCTCGAGAAGAGTATAACATGGTCACAGCTAGTCAGAATCTCAGTTGATATTAATTTTCAATTTGACGAGGTTGACCCAAACAAAACGAAGCGGTCAGTAATTTCTAGAAGAAAAATTACACCACTGACCTCCTGGCGTTTACAGTGGGAAAAAATAATAATAATTAAGGTAAAACTTATGCAACTTAGGTGTTCTACACTTAAAAAAGCCATATAGCCATTATCAATTTCAGATCAAAATTCTCCATTCCATATTAAGTTAATCAGTGAACAAAACAGCACCTTGTTCTTGAAAGCACTGCCCATAAAAAAAGGAACAAACTTCCGTGCTATTGTCGCTCTCCTTATGGCTGCCTGGAGAACACAGAAAGAAAATTATAAATAGGTAAGGGAAGAATAGATGTCCCCAAGAGCTTAGGATTACTTAGATAAGGTCAATACTCAAAGATCCAGCAGCAGTACATTATCATATCAATACCAAGTACTGCAATATTTGTTGTATTAATTATAGACATTAATGTAGGTTAAACACTTTGATATAGTACATGTTAAAAGATAAGGTTTAGCATATAGTCGCATAAAAATCTGTTCGCAACCAATTGACCTAGTTGTGGTAAATAACCCTGTCCACCCCAAAAGCATCTCAACTCCAGTCCCATGCTCACATATTTAACATGGTACAGAAAAGAACATTATGCTAAAAAAGGAGGTATGCTTTCAAACTATCACCAAATCTCCGTCATTGTGCTTGCTCATTTGAAAACCTACCTAGCATTCAACTGCTATAGTTCCAAGATCTACAATGACCACGTTAAGCGGCAGGAAACAGTCACTTTTAATTCTATCCCCGACATGATCACCGAAGCTTGCAAGTTTCGCTCAACAATTGAAATTAGGTATTTACCTACCACCCATTACATCTATCAAAATCTACTACTTTGAAAAGAAACATTTGTGTCTTAAACAGAATGTAGACTTCTCAAAACAACAACTCAAAAGTACCCCACAAGAAGGTTGTTATTTCCTTATAAACAAGGTCGAATAATTGTGTACAGACCTCAAGCTCAGCAGATGATATAGGCTCATCATTCAGAAATGCTTCAGCAAGCTTATCATCAACCTCAGAAACTGCTTCAATTAGCTCTCGCCGCTTCTCAGAAGCAATTGCTTCCATATTAGCAGGAATATCTTCTGTGACAATCTTCTCACTGCAAAAGCCAAAAATGAATATGACCAAGTAGAGCAATGTACCAATCATATCTAACCAAACATGTTTTAGCTCGAGACGGACCCACTGGAACCATGGAAATAGTAAGCTTTCAACTGCACAAGATCAATAAGACCCTTGAAGTCATCTTCCAACCCAATTGGAACTTGCACAGCAGCGCTATGGTGCCGAAGTTTTGATCTTGCCTGTGTGAAAAGGAAACAGAACAAGTATAAGAGATTGTCTTCAAAATTTCAATGTGCTAGACTGTTATTCAGAATTCACATAACAAAGTTCTAGAGGAAAGCAGCAAAGTAAGAGATAATATCAATGATAACAAGATGCTGAGCAGCATATAAGAAAAAAGCATTTTAATAGAGGTCCATAACAATAATAAGTGCTCCCTGCCAAAGAATCAGGCAAACACACACAAAAAAGTAAAAGGTAGCAGTGAATCAAGTAGCAGATGTTTATAACAAAGACAATACTTTCTGAACCCCAACCTAACTGTCCAACTTTTTATATTGAGAGACATAAAGGAATTCAGTTAACAGAAGAACTATGATGATGATCTTTAGCACGAACGCTGCATGAACACACTGGCTTCCCCGCCTTAAATGTTTTCTAGAGGTCTACTGATTTGGCACTCAAATAAATTTATTCATGTTTAGTTCCTTCACGCATGATGACAATGAACTTCACTGCTTGCGATTTCTCTGAAATACCAGACAACAAGAGAAATGTCGCCTGGCAGCAAGCAACAAATTAAAGAGCAACAAAATTTAACTTATTTAAAAGGAAAATAAGCTTTGAATCAAATTTTAGAAATGTAATAGGCCTTCAATGATGCATAGCTGACCTGGTTAAGAACTTTCCATGGGTCTGCCCCCATCCGATCAAGTTTATTAATAAAAGCAAGTCTTGGGACTTCATATCTTCTCATTTGCCTATCTACAGTGATAGACTGACTTTGGACACCACCAACACTACAAAGGACAAGAATGGCTCCATCAAGAACACGCAAGGCTCTTTCCACCTCAATCGTGAAATCAACATGACCTGGTGTGTCAATTATGTTCACCTGCAACAAGCAGAAATTAAAAACTGGATCCACAAATCTACCAAAAAAAATTTCTACTAACCAAACAACTGAGGATTATTACAATCTCAGAAAAGAGAAAACATTTGCATGCAATATTATGCTAATCTTTCCTAGTGATAACCCAAGAAAAGAAATAGGAAACGGAAGCTACAATAATGTTTCACGTATCTGGTTGGATCAGTCACGCTTAGCTCAATAAACTAAGCACCCAACAAGAATCTCTTGTGAACCAGTCCTGACAATTTCATTTTTGTCCGTTTTGTTTGACTTGCCTCGTTAATAGGATATCAATAAAGAATAAAACTAATATATTTTTACTATTCCTTTATCAAAAAATTGATAAGGGATAAAACAATCTCATTCTAACCCTTGTTGAATAGAAAATAAAAAATTTCTCTCTTTTTGTTTTTCCCTGTCCAAAATAATAAAGGATCTATCACTAACGGCTGGAAAATCAAACTTTCATATAACCGACATTTATTCCATGGCTGCTCTATGTTCTTTATATAGAGCACAAATGTCGAATAAAAACCTACTATGATTCGGTTGATTATGGACTTCAGCAAGATTATCCCTTTAACTGAAATGTGGAGAAAGGAAAGCAGAGAACTGATTCTTGGAAATACTAGAAAGGAATAGGCATGACAAATCATTTTCCAGCAGACCACACAAAATGCTCTAAGCATATTCTTCACATTGCTTTGTATTCACCAGCAGCTACAACAACAATAACAAAAATATGACGGGAAATCAATTTTCCTCACATTTTCTTCATTTACCTCCATATAATCTGCAGGTGATAACACCAACCAGCACTAATAGATTGAAAGTTCCATTTACCATTGGGATTGGTCTAAATTGCAGTAGGAATAACCCTAATGTAAAACTTGCCACCTCTAGAGGATTCAACATGCGTCTTCTACAGTTTAAAAATTGATCCGATGACCAGCTATTTGAAAACACAGATTATATTACATTGTCATAATCTGAAGTCCAACATCTAAGAAATTTCTCTCTAATGAGGGCAACAAAAGGTGGGCTCAGTCCAAGCAATTTATGTAACATGGACCACTTCAATTTTGTTTTTATGTCAGTGCATGAATCTCATAGTAGCCACGATTAGTACTCCAAAGAAGGAAATCGAAAGTCTCACTAATGTCTTGTGGAGAAAACGAAATTTTTGGTTAAAACTGATCACTGAAGCAACTGGGAAAATAGTGAGTCTCTAGGCCATCTCGGGTTGACTAAAAGAAATGGGTTAATGATATCCATAAAACGAGGCCCAGATATCTCCATCAGCTCTATAACTTTACCAAATCCGTTTGGCCATAAAAAAGATTCCTTTTTTCGAAAAAGAAAAACTTTTTTTCGGAATGAGCCTTTGGCCATGAAAATTTCAATTTTTCACTTAGAAGTTGAATTTCGGAATTTGAAAAACTCCAAAAAACTGTTTTTCAAAATTTTCACTTCAAAGCACTTACAAAAAGTCAAAACAACTCTAAATTGTAATAATGTCCAAACACATCTCTAATTTTCAAATACCATTTTCAACTTGAAAAAAACACTTTTTTCGGAATTTCACAATTCTCCTCCCTCCCTCAGAAATGTACTTTCAATACTTCTCGACAGTCAAGAAAGTCTAGACAGAAATTTTAAGATCAATGAATCAAACTTGCAATTAGAGAATGATAAATAATACTATTACTGGAGTCATTCATAGATCACAAGATGCACCCTTCAGCTACTCTTAGCCATTCAGCTTCGATAAATCAACCATTTACCAAATTTCAAAAAAATTCTTGTTCAACCACATTTCCCTGTTCTAATCAATTTCTGGCAAGAAAATAAACAAATCAAAATAATTAGTAAAAACTTTTAAAGGTGAAAAAGAATGTATTTTTTTAATACCTGATAGTCTTTCCAAGTGCAGTAAGTAGCAGCAGACTGAATAGTAATCCCTTTTTCTCTTTCTAAATCCATGGAATCCATCTTTGCACCAACTCCATCTTTACCTCTAACTTCATGGATCTCATGGATCCGACCCGTATAAAACAGTACCCGCTCCGTCAATGTGGTCTTACCGGAGTCAATATGAGCTGAAATCCCAATATTCCGTACTTTTTCAAGAGACTCTCTCCATGCCGCCTCTTTCTCGTCTCTCACTCTGGCGGTGGCAGTGCTGGAGGCGGCGTAGTGGAGGAGCTGGAAGTTTCCGGCCAATAAAGCGGCGATAGGGGATTGAGGTGGGTGTTGAAGATTCAACGGCGTTGTCCTTTTGGTGGAGGAGCAGATATTGTAGAGTAGGCGCGTCGTAGAGGATCTAGCTGACCGAGCCATTGGGGGTTTAGGGTTTTGCCAAAACCCTGCTGGAAAATTTGCTCCTGTGAAGAAGAAAGGTACGGAGGTTTTTTCCTTAATGCTGTTATGAAGAATAAAAACGGGCCGGAATATCTTTTCTAACTGAGATAAAGAACCCCATCACGGTTAGATTGAAAATTTATCTCACAAGCGGATACAATATCAAATCAATAAATGTATTATTTTCTTACATAAAATTTTCTTTCTTGACTATGATTAATTAAATTTACGATTTTTAGAAATATTTTTTAGTATCTATTCACATATCTTTGCTACTATTTCACTATTTCAGTGACTTTGAGATTGTTGTTACTATCTTTCAAACCAATTTATTAGTACTGCTTGTTTCTACTATTTTTTTTTCTTGACCCAACAGCATTTCCACGGTAGGATTAAGACTTTTGTATACACTACCCTCCCCAGATCTCTTTTGTGAAATTTTACTGAGTTGTTATTGTTGTTGTCATTCATAACATTTTGAAAAATAACATACTATAAATATATAATTAAACAATTTAAAATTCATACCAAATTATGAGGATCGAGTCACTAAGATACATGATCAAATAGAGCAAAAACAAACATTCTTATCATGTATTCATAATCAAGAGAAAAGATAATAACCAACCTAACTTTAATTTGTGACTACTATTTATCCTAGAGTTACATTTACTAGCCGCGATACATATACGGACTGTGGGTGACTTGTTTCAAAAGGATTTCGAGGAAGAAAATATAGTAATATCCGAGATTATTGGCTTAAAATATCTTATCCAACACCAACAAGAATGTTACACATCTCCCTTTTTCTTCATTCTTACGAAAAGTGTAGATACCTTCCGCCCACACTAATACACTATCTCACTTCTGAGAGTTGACTTAAAAGGATAAGAGGAAAACCATAGCTTCTAGTCTAGAGTAAAACCAAAACATGGGGGGAGGAGCCATGTTGCCACCATTTACTAGTACAGTAGGACTATCCAACAACTCTTCCAGTTTCAATTTTCCCCATTCTTTGTCATCAATTTGTAACACATCCTTTGAAGAATCTTGGGTCAAGAATCGGTGTATTGATTATGGGCCAAAATCTGAGACTCTTGATATTGAATCATTTGATGATGAAAAAGGAACAAAAGGGTCTCCTTATGACTGGGTATTTGGTTCTGTGCCATCTAGCTGGGAGGTTGAAAAGGCTATGTCTGATCTCCAAAGGTAAAATGATCAAATGAATAATCTTTGCTTTTACGATAAAGCTAATTGATTCTTTTTTTTTCTTTTTCTTTTGGGATAGTTTATTGGAATGCTTTGACTAATCAATAACTTTCTTTTTGTGCTTCCCAACGTAGCTTGTACCAAGTCCAAATTATGTAGGAGGGTTGTCTTAGATTGAAACAACAACAACATACTCAGGGAAATCCCGCAAATGGGGTCTGGGGAGGGAAGTGTGTACCCAGAGTCTACTCCTACCTTTGTATAGTTAAAGAGATTGTTTCAGATAGACCCTTGGCTCACGGAAGCCAAATTATGACGAATCTTTAAATACTGAAGAGAGAAAAGTAGATATAGAGGATTATGAAGCCATATCTTTCTAGTATCGGATCAATTGTTAATTGGATGGTTTAAATTGAATGTGCTAATACTCATGTTGATGTGGCAGCAAGATAAGTTTAAGCTATAACCCAGACTCCCTAATGTTAAAAGATGAAGAATCCAATTCTCCCAAATCCGAAATTTGAAAAAATTGAGAGTATGGTAATTAGAGCCTTTCAACAATTTTCCCAGTTTGCATCTAACAATTACTTGTTTGAATCTTATATACTGTTTTTGCAGTTTCATGAGTGGGTGTAATGATCCTAAAGAAGAGATGAATCAGTCGAGTCTGCTGCAGTCCCATGGATATGCAAGATTTTATGATGCTTTTCGTATGCTTCAAAATGAACCACCAATTCAGGTGTGACATTTTATTCCTGCATTTGATATGTCATTGATCTATATATGTATCTGAAGGGAGTTTATTTGCATGTAGAGATTGGTTGTTTCCTTAGCTAGTGATAGAGCTGTTTGGGAAGCTACGATGAACAACAAGGCTGTTCAGAATCTGCAAGGCTCACTCATATGTGCAGGTTTACATGGATCATATTATTAACTCCTTGTAGACACTTTGTCATTTTCCTTACATTGGTTTGTAGTGTGCTGATAGGAAAAGCTGTTGTTTTCACTCTTCTACTCTTTTTATACAGCTGAAGGGAAAGAATCTCAGAGCTCAACTGAGGAGTCAGACATCGGATCCCTGGTAGTGAAATGGATTATGGGCATCACAACTTCAAAACTCGCGGAGCTGATCCAATCAGTGGGATCATTGTTGAGTGAAATATTCAGTGAAATACTTGAACCAGCCAAGAAAGAAAAACCCACTTCAGAACTGTCTGATCTCTTGGAAGAGAAGCTTAGATCTTCTTTCCTTTTATCAGTTGTTCTGTTGTTGATTGTGGTCGTGACAAGAACCCAAGGAGCTTGATCGGCTTCAAATCGCTCATGAGTGTTTTATATAACAAATTTGCTACATGCTTTGATATAGAGGGAAAAAAAAAAACTATTGTGAATAATTTTTCATAAGTTATAACCCTCACAATTGCTTCCCTCTCCCGTTCTCCAGATATTACCCGAAGGCATTCTTTTTGTTTAGATTTGTTCCCAACGCCAATCTCTTTTTGCCTCTCGTATAGGGCAGTATTCTGACAGCAGTTCATTCTTTCCATAGTTCTTTTCTCATGGAAATCACAATCAGTTTCCTTCCCACCCCAAATTGTATGGTATTAATTCGTTCTGGGCTGTTGATGTCGTCATAAATTAAACCATCACTAGTACTTTTATGCTTCAGTTTGGAGATCACTCGAATTCAACAAAAATAAAAGAATAAAAAAGGGGTGAGGTGATGAAGAACTATGCTCAACCTCTTAGTATATTCATAAGAGACCAGATGTAACAATGCAATCTGTTAATTTTGGTTTTTCCTGAATTTCCTCTACATTTCATAATCATCATTGTCTTGACAGCAATAGGCAAAAAAAAAAGGAAGATTTTGAACAAGGCTGAGCACCATTTCAGAAAACTAGATTTTGCAGCACTTCAATCACCACTCAGATGTGAGGCCTTTGAAAAGTATCACGATCTAACATCTCTGACTGAAAACTAATGGCATACACATAGCTGGAAAAAGAGATCCAACAAGAGTCGAGAGATTCCCTCAGATTTGTACTTCTACATGAAACTGTTCACAGCACCTAGCAGAGTGCACCAATCATCGAGTCAACCATAATTTAGGGCCCGTTAATTCACGATTGGCAGCAGATCCTTCGTTTGCAAGCTTCTGAATACGAGAAGAGAATTCTTCAGCCTGAACAAATGTAAATGGTATCATTAATTTCTGATATTTAAGGTAAATTTAGAAAGAACCATAACTCCTCTATATTCAGTTTATTAAGGTTTGGGTTCAAGTCTAAACTTGCATCCAGGCGACGCCTTCAACAAAATTAAATCTATTCACAAATGAACAGTAGAAAACAGACCTGTAATGGTAAAAACGTAGGCTATGTATTAATCAGTATCAGTAATAGTAGATCCCTAAAGCATTCACTATGTGGTACAAATTCAGCTGTACCTAGACAGAAGCAATGAATCTACAAAGATAAACTGAAAATGAAATGGCAGAATAGCACCTATTATTGCTTCTTAAGTCAAAAGTCATTTGACATACAATTACATATTATGACAAATTAACAGATACCTGAATAAAATTGAGTGGTGCTTAACAGAACTTAGTTAGCTTACTAGAACAATCTTTGGGCATAAGGCAGAATTTGGGGTAGTAGAGAGAAGAGGTATAATGGACCTTTTGCCCTAAAGTAGATGCATGGGAATATAACCACAGGCCTCAAGAAAGTGATTCCCACCGGCAAATATAATTCATCAGATTGACAAGTCGAGGTGGTGATGCCTTCCTAAATCTTTGAACCGCATGTAGGTGTTGTTTTTTGACAATACCTTTTTTAGCCTCTAACCAAAACTGGACTCTTCGTGCTTATTCATAAGAATTAAATTCAAAACCTTGTCCTATCTATAGATTTTTCTCTGGTGCTTGTGAATTTAAAATGGATAGTAAATTGAATTAAATAGTTAGAAACTTACTAGATTAGTATATCTCACCCTGCAAGATCAATGATTCTCCGATTTAGCACTTACAAGTGCCTATCATACCCTACCTTACCATGCAATATCAAGGACACTTAAGAAAATCATAAAAGAGGCCTTTTAAGATCATATCAACAAAATGATCCAAAAAGAAATGTAAAGGGAAGATGAGTATGATTTCAGCTGAATTGTCAAACAGCTGCTAATACCCCGCATACTCTAAATTACTTTATAAATTTATCTTCTCTGTTAAAACTGTATTAGGGATGGCAATGTCTCCTGACAATATCTATTTCACAAATATAGAAGTTCTTGACTTATACAGAACAATATCGCCATTTTTGTTCCATAAGATTATCTGGAAGATCGAGTTGAAAAACTAAGACTTCCCTTCTTTTTTTTCTCCACCTCTCTCCAATCACATCGTTTACTAGTCCAGCGTACTTACTTTTCATTCTGATTTCATTTTTAGGCTACAAAACAAGAGCCAGAAAAAGCATGAGAGGCAATGTTCACCTTTTCATCAATCCACATCAGTGAACTCAATTGATTGTTTAAGATTCGGACAACAACATCAAGCGGTGTCATTCCATCTGGTGCCTCAAGTTCTCCACCCTAAATGAAATAGAAAAATAAACATAAAAATATAAAACCAGTATATTGTATAAACTTTACACCATCTAGTCATAATGCTAAGGTCAGGGGTGGAAGCCGAAATAAATGAAGGTACAAGACCTGGCTCGCATTAAGTGTATTAATGATTGACTTGATCTGCTCTGTCATCTTCTCCATTTCCCTCTCCACAAACTCAGCCTGTTCATACCTGAAATTTCACCAAGTCCTCAGATATTGATGCATTACAATATGTCTGGGTGGAGGATTATAGAGGATAAAAGAGGCAGAAAGAATCTACGATTAAGAAAACCAAAGTTTAGTTCTTGACTGCACAAGGTAGTGGACGAGCTTGCTTCTGCTTGCTGGAGTAACTAAAGGACAGATCAAATCAACAGTTACCTTTTATGGCCCGACTTTTTGCACTAGCAAATGGGTAATATCACCTTCACATGGAAACCATTGCCGCTAAATATATATACTTTTAATCTTCAGGTTAATAAACTTAATTTTTTGCATTAAAATGTACTTCATTCTCTGTTACTTATTACGTATATAGAAAGAAGGTTCCTTTTTTAACAATAAAAATTTTAAGTGAAAACTAGGCGAAATCACAGCGTGGTACAATTCCAAAATTACACAAGTGCAACATGACAAACAAGGTAGCATGGCACGAACTGTGGACATTGTTGAAAAATGTATAAAACCAAGCACTAAGCAACCTTGATTCTCCTTTCTTTTCTTTTCCCATTGCCTCATTTTATTTCTTTTCAACTCCCTTATCTCTCCAATTATTTTCATTCAAGCTTCAACGCTCATCATGTCCACATCCAGCAATTGGAATAAAACGAAGAGGCTGCCGGATCTTAGAAAGGGAATAAAAATAATTTGTTTACCTGGTAGCATACTTAGGGCCTATTTGTTTTGGATTATAACAATAAATTCAGATGATATAAATACATGATTAGGAAAAATTAATTAAGATAATCATATCTTATTGAAGAAATAGCTCCAGAAAATTATTTTTGAAGCTAAACCTGTTGTCATTGACAAAACCGATTAAATCAGGAAAGTCTATAGAATCCGAGGAAATAATCCAAACAAAAAGAACCCTCATTTTATTGGTTGGAATACGTAGGAACTACTCTAAAGCACATATATATGATAACTAACTTAATTATCTGTAAAGTGGTTTACAAAAGAATGTATTAAGAAGGAACTTTAATGTCTCAGCAGATGTTGCAACGTTTAAGCTCCACGAAAAAATTCTTGACCATTTGCTATTACATGAAAGAATGGGCTTATTATCTCAATTACTTGTTACTTATTTCATCTTCATTACTACAATTGAAATTGGCTCATTAAGATGGAAACAGAAGACAGCAACATAATGCATTTTATCATGCTTGTTTAAGGTCATTAACCACTCCAGTCAAAGAAATGGAATGAGATTTTTGCAGCTAATACTATTAACAAGCTGGATACGAATTTCGAAAGCCCATCATTATGCGATGGCTTCAAAGAAACAAGAAACAAAGAAGATTAACCAAACATGCACTCACATTGCATCCCTTGTTGATGCAGCTTCATCATCAAGAATCACACCTCTCTCATCTTTGTAAATTCTGTCAGCTTCTTCTTCCATGCTTTGCAATGCCTTGTCAACCTAACAGAAGTGAGAAAAAAGAGAATGAACTTCTGCCACGACATCATTCCAGAACAAGTTAGAGCACAGTGTATACATAGAATCAACAAAGCTAATTACCGATGAGTATCATAAATGCACGGGGTTATTACCATAGTATATGTCCCTTAAAATGATAATCACTATAAATCACAAACCAGGAGTTACAAGAAAGAAAACAAAGCAACTGCTAAGCACTGCCTTAAGTAGGTAGAGAAGATCCACTCAACAATTAACACAATACTCATCATATATACAACAATAACAACGATAACCCAGTGAAATCCCGCTAGTGGGGTCTGGGGAGGGTAGTGTGTACGCATACCTTACCCCTACCCCAAGGGGAATACTCATCATATATACAAGGTAAACAATATTATGCCTTGCCTCAGTCCATCCTCAACCATGGATGACAAATTGAGAAGATTTCAGAAGATCTAAACTTATATGAACTTGAAATAGATGTTGAATTGACAAGTCATTTCGCCAAAACATGCCCTTGTTAAACAGGTGAGAGGTGTATGGACTAATAAATCCTTCTAAATACTCTATAATTTTAACATACCCTAGTCAGATTCTTTGTAGGAAGACCTATGATGCCTAGAATTGAAATATGACAGCTGGAATTGAGTAGCGCTACCATAGTACAAGGGATAGAAAGATATCTGAAAAATTGAAAGGCAAGTTCAATAGAGCGGGACAACCATGTTACACGAGAGTGATCATTAGGCCTATCTAATGATTAAGGACCAGGCAGAATAAAGCAAGTTGAGGGAAGTCCTAAAATCTCGACATCAATGCATACTTAGCCATGATTAAAACACAACGGAAGCAAAGGATCAAACTAATTCTGATTAAACTAGTTATACGTGCAAGAGATTATAAGATACAGAGAACCACTGAGTTGCCTTAAAGGCAAAGCATTTTGTACCGGAATGTAGTGGTCCCAGGCAGAACAGAATGAATAAGATTAAAGTAGCAACCTTAATGGATCTGGAATGGCATAGTTATTGATACCGGCTAATAACAGCTTTCTTCAATGATACATTGACACTGAAAGCATGCACAAGTTGGGTATCAAAGAATCTCATTCAATTACTCCAGACACATCAACCAAATTAGGATTTGGAAACACGTCTTCAGAAGACCATTTTAGGCATTTTACCACCAATATATTGGTTAAAATTGCACAAGATGAGATAAGCATGGAATGCTTTCACAATCACATAAAGTATTAGACATTAGAACATGAAATGAACGACTCAAATTGCAGGAAAAGATAATGCTCATTAAGTAACCTCTTCCTGATGAGTCTCAATTAGCTCCAGTTGTCGCTCTAAGCTGGTTTGTGTCTCAACAACCTTTGCAACTTCGCTCTGAGATAGTAAAAACGTAATTGCAGATGTCAAATTTCCTATGAAATAACTGAGGACGCAATTTATACAAGTATGTTTAACCAAACCATAACTAAAGAACAAGGCTACAATCCTACTAGTAACTCTATTAACAGAAAATTAGCGGCAGAGCTTAACTAGAATGAACATAGTGCTCCATTATTAATCTCATAAGAATACGAGTAGATTTCTTAATAGGAAACATCTACCTAACTGTTACACAAGGAAATTTGAAAAAAAAATCTCACCACTGAGGGAGGTTTGGGGGGCTTAGAGCTAACTGAATACAGCAGATACAAAATAGAAATGCATTTACAGAGATCATGAATTACATCTGGAATTTAAAGAAGAATGCCGACTTTAAGAGCCCGTTTGGACATAAGAAATTTTTCCCTTTTTTCCAAAAAAATTTCAATATTTTCCGAAATCCGCGTTTGTTCATAAAATTTCCAAGTTTCAATTGAAGATGCATTTTACAAATTTTCGAAAAATTGAAAAACTCCAAAAATCTGTTTTTCAAAATTTTCACTCGCAAAACTTCAAAAACAACCCAAAATTATATTCATGTCCAAACACAACTCTAAATTTCAAATACCATTTTCACTTGAAATTTTTTTTACCCTTTTTTGGAATTTTATAATTCTTATGTCCAAACGCCCACTAAATAAACTTCGAGTTACCTCTAGTCTGAGAAGAATATCACGGTTCTGCAAGATCCTTTTGTCCCAGTCAGCTATTGCATTAGCCTGCTTTCTAAATTTTGCAGCGCGTTCTTGCAGCTCAGCGTTCCATTCCTTGATGATCTTTCATTGAAATAAGGAATATGCAATAAGTTCAATAGGTAACAACGTAACTAACAGGAAAAAGTGAATTCCTCAACAAGAAACAGGGATGGGTGATAATCCACTGAAAAAGCCTCGACAACCGACCAAGAAAATACTAAAGTTACTGCCTCTATCACCTATCCTCCCTTGTGAAGTATGTTCATATAATTAATTTTTTGCTAAACATTGCTCCGCCAAAAAAAATGAAACTTCGGCATGTTCAAGGAATCAAGCCTATAGTTCAATACATGTAATCCAAAGCTAAGTGCATTGGATCAAACTAGAATTTGACTAACAAGGGAAAAGATAGTGAAAAACATACTACCCAATTTTTAGCACATATATTACCTCTTCTACAGACTTTCCTGTAATTTCTGAAGGTAATTTCGTTGTGGAAGTGGCAGCTACAGTAGAAGTTGAAGTAGTCCTGCAGAAAAAGGGACAAATTCAAAGTCAAGCTAATGCACATACAGCCGGTCACAGCAAAATTTGAACTCAACTGATTAATAGATTCGCTAATTAGTTGCAATTAAATTCTAAAAATAGTGTGTTTTAGACAGTTAGACATGAGCAGGGAAAGGAGAAGCAGAAGAACTCTTTAATTCATAATAGAAGAGACTCTTCTCTTTACTAAATAAAACTACCACGGAAGCAAACAGAAGCGAACTTATTTGATATTACTACTTTTTCTAATAACCATATTTTTTTTTATATTATTACAACTGAATCCAGCCTAGGTGATTTTTGAGAGGACTAATTGTGACTAGCGCTGCACTATTCTACAAATTCACGATAAACATTAAACAGTATTGACAAGCAATTCTAGTTTCTTCTTCCCCATTGACTTCTTTGTGATCATTGGAACTTTTTTTGGGTTAGGATACAATAATGAATTTACTGATGTTGGAAAACAATACAGGTAGCATCCAGAGAAAAAAGAAGAAAAACAGAACCTACATACTTCTGTACAGATAATACTTAAATCGCCTTTCAAAACATAATAGCCAATTGCCTACACTAATAGAAACCTTGTGGGTGCTCCAAAAATTAACCTTTGTAATCCTAATATGTTCCAATTTAGAGCTTTAAACTTGATAGTTCTCACGGTGACAAAAAGGAACTCACATACTTCCTTACAAGATTTGAGGAATTTTGTGAATTAGAAGAAAGAAGTTAGGAGAATAAGAGACCAGCAAGCCATACAAAACTAACAGTAACTGGATAAGCTTTCTGCAATATTTGGAGGCCTAATGATCTGAAAAGTCAATCAGTGGAGGACTGCGAAGGCCCGAAAGCTTTTTTGAAATAAATTATTACAGTGTTACATCACAAAGAAAACCCAAAAATGCTGCTCCATCCAACCACACACGCTGAAGTGAACTCATCAACTATCTACTGCAGTCACAAAGTCATTCATTTACTTTTCACTTTTCATCTACAAAACTCTCTTCACTGGGACATAACCCAGGGGCTTTACTCAGTCAGATAAAAAGGTTTTAAGTTACTTTACAATAAAGCAAATACATACCCACTACTAGCAGTTGCAGTCAAGGCTGATGATGTCGGAGCTGCTGAACTTGTTGCAGCGCCAGAAGTTGTGCTTGGGACACCTAAGGAGTAAGGAAAAAACCTTATAATAACCATGATATTGAACAAATGACACTTAAAATTTCATACCTATGAATTGCTTGAAACAGGACAAAGTAACATAGGGGGAAATGACATTATCAAACCAGAGTTGCCACACTTACTTACAAAACTGATTACTTGATAGTACACTCCCTCCTTCCCAAAATTTTAGTCTGCTTTGCTTTATGAGGCTTACTTGTTGTTGTTTGCTTTATGAGGGTCAATTTCACCCTACTTTGAGCTTAAAAAGGATGATAATTTCATTCTTTGAAATTAATAACTAAATGTTTACGAACTACAAAAAATATTATCACTTACTATTTTTCATCAAAAGAACAGCAAAATACATTTGATAACTTAGTCAATGATTTATTTGGCTCTTATGGTCGCAGCAATTCAAAACAGAAGATAAACGATGCACTATTTATTTCAGGATGTGTAAACGATTAAGCAAACTACTACCATCAGTCCTTGTAAACGTATTAAAGTTCTTCAAACATTTCCATATGATCTCACAATGTTGTTCTTATCCTAACAAATCAGGTATATAGTGCTCAGTTTTGTAATTACTATTGAGATTAAACAACCCAGTTTAAGCTCAAAAGAGTTCTTCCTCGATTCGATGTGTCAGTTTAGCTCAGCATTGCTTTGCCTTCCATTTTACTTTCTGAAGTCATAGACAACGAATCCACCAGTCTGGGTGTGAAGTTCCCTTAACAACTAACTTCACTTCATTAATCAATTAAAGTTCCATTAAAGTATATTGGCCACTAGAGTCCAATCATACGCAAGTTTAGTTATCATATGATACAACAGCTACAATATAGACAACAACATTCAACCAAAAGTACTAGTGAAACTTACTAAAGCTTGGCACAGCCGCAGTTGATGCAGATGTTTTGCTAGACAGCGAAAAACTTGTGGTTGGAGCAGCAGCACTTGTTGTTGAAGCTGAAGAAGAGGGTGCAGCATTAAATGCAGGAAATGTCAGAGATGAACCAGTCCCGGTTCCACTAGTTGTAGAAACAGCAGAGGAAGCTCCCGTAGCAGTTGCAGTGGTAGAAATGCTGGTGGTAGTAGTAGTAGTAACTGTCGAAAACAAAGGCGATGAAGCAATTGAAAAACCGGTACTAGCAGGTTTGGACACCGGGGTTGCACTTGAAGAAGCAGTACTGGAAGACGTATTAAATGGAAAAGCAGTAGTCAGTGAAGGAGCACTCGAAGCGGCTGCAGAGCTTCCTGTCCCTTTTGTAACTGAAAATGACAGAGAAGTAGAAGCTGAAAAAGGCGATGGCGATGATGAAGAGACTGAAGCTGGCGTGGTCCCAAATGCAGTTGAAAAGGAAAATGCTGGTGCAGGTGAGCTAGACGCTTTCGCTGATAATGAAAATGCAGGTGCTGCTGAACTTGACGCTGATAATGAAAATGCAGGTGCAGGTGAACTAGACACTATCGCTGATAATGAAAATGCAGGTGCTGCTGAACTTGACGCTGATAATGAAAATGCAGGTGCTGCTGAACTTGACGCTGATAATGGAAATGCAGGTGCAGGTGAATTTGGCGTTGATAATGAAAACGCTGCAGGTGCTGCTGAACTAGTTGATGACGTGGCGAGTGAAAATCCCGGTGCAGAAGATACCGAAGTGGTGGTTGCAGCACTTGACAGTGAAAATGACGGGGCAAAAGATGCTGAACTGGCAGCTGCTGAGCTGGCAAACGAAAATGCCGGTGAAGAAAATGCGGATGCTGATGAGGCCGAACCAGAAAAACCGAATGGAGTGGTGGAAGAAAAAGTAGTGCTAGTAGTAGTTGCTGCAGTTGCAGTAGAAGAAGCAGTTAATGGTGATGAAAACAGAGAAGATGAAGAAGAACCAAATAAGCCCAAGCTTGAACTTGAACCCGAACCAGAGCCCGACCCAAACAAGCCCCGCGACGGAGTACTTGACGACCCGAAAAGTGCAGAACTACCGAAGGGGGATGAATTGGCAGCGGCGGTAGCTGAAGTTGTCCCAAACAATGGGGAACTACTAGCAGATGTAGTGGATCCGAACAGGTTCGTAGTGGTACCAGAACCGGACGAAGATCCGAGTAAGTTTGAAGTGGTACCCGAACCGGAAGAAGATCCGAATAAGCCGGGTGTGGGACTGGAACCAGAAGAAGCACTAGATGAAAAGCCAAACGACGCTGTAGAAGCACCGGTAGAAGAAGAGCCGAAACCGGCGAAAGAAAAGGAAGGACCGGAAGAGGCTGAAGAAGCAGAAGAGCCAAATCCAAAAGGAGCAGACGTGGCGGGGCTAGGGTTAGGGTTTGAGAAGGAAAATGAGGAAGAAACGGTAGCAGCAGCGGTGTTAGGCGTGGAGGAAAAAGACGGGTTTGAAGAGAAGGAGAAGGGCGAAGAAGAGGAGGAGAATGAAAAGCCTGTCGACATTGTTATCGGAGCTACGGTGGCGCGTGTATCCTACTTCTTACTTGTTCAAAATTCACCGCCGGAGCAGGAGAGGAAAGTTGAGTAGCAGCAGGGGATAGTGAGGGTTTTTCAATGGGCGAACTGCGTAGAGAATAAGCCGAGCAGTTGGCCCTGTCCAATTTCTTGTTTTGAAATTTTGCCCCTCCAACTTATGTCTTTGGACAATTTTAGGAAACAAAGTTTTTTGAAAAGAAAAAAAGTTCATGCAAAACAAAAAGAATTTCATTCCTAGATTGTCCAAAAGACAACATCTACCGTAGCCAAAACTTACCCCTATTTTTTAAAAGATATTTTTTTAAAACAACTAACTTTTCAAAAATATTTTTCCAAATACTCTTTTTGGAGTTTTAAAGTTTTTAAAATATTTGAAATTTTGAGTTTGAAATTTTTCAAAAGAAATTTACTTTATTTAACAATAACTTCACAAACATACATCTTTCTTGAAAACTCAAAACCTAAGTTAATTGCCTTCATGGTTAATCATTCACATAAATCAAGTTAATAGTGAGTGTATACGGTCAAAATCGGCTTACCCGATTTTGCTATTTGATCAAGATGAGGGAGTTGCGGCAAGGATGACCTCGTAAAGAATCAGACCCGAGCTCGAAGACGAGGCATCGAGTCCAAAGATTAAAGTGTCTGTCGAGACCGAGGCCAAGAGCAGGTGCAATAACTGAAAGGCGAGATATTTGTAACCGGTCGGAGATCACGACGGAAATCTCGGAGCAGATCAAATCAAGGGAGATTATTTGTATCAATCATGGGATTGACTTTCATAGTTAGAATTGTACTATAATTAGAATTCCTATAGTATATAAAGGGGAGTCCCTATCATTTGTAGAGACCTTACATTGATACAGATCAAAGCAATATAATTTTTCTCTGTTGTTCATCAATTCATTGTTCACTGATAAGAATATATACACTTGTTACTTTCCTGCTATTTCACTTACTGCTCATCGGAGTTGCTTTATCATTTATTATTCTTACTATTCCACCTCGAGACTATCCCGAGTCGAGGTTGAGACCAGGCTAGCATACTGGTTTGATTTATTTTATTCTCTAATTTATTTATTTATCTTCTTTCCTATCAATTGGTATTGGACGAAATCACATATCCTTAAAACCACAACATAAGTTTAATTGTTATCCGAATTTGAGGGAAAACAACTGTTGATACCCAATTTTTTTATGTATATTTTATATATGTAAAATACTTTAAAAATATCATATGTATGCATATATAGGTATATCCAAACATTTTAGTATTTTTCCTAATTTTAAAAGATTTTANTATATATTATTAATTAATTTAGCACCTTTAATTTATTTTCAGAAGTCATTTTAGTATTTTTATAAAATAAAAAGGTAAAAACTGGCTATTTCAATTATAGCCCAAATTGATCCCCAAATAACCTAATTTCAAATCTCAAATTACCCAGCCCAATTTCAATTTAACCCGACCCCTGACCTGTTTATCCGATCCGCCCGGCCCTCTCTTTTAATTTAGGTCGTTGATCATGTTGATCAACGGCCACAATCATTCCTTACCTTTTTAATTCCCCAATGACTACCCTAATCCCCGCATTCTCTTCTATCAGCCGCCTCTGAAATCCCTCTCCTATAAAACTCTCTCGAACCCTCTCGAAACCCTAGCCTCTCTCACTGTCTTCTAACTCAAGCTCACTGGAATCCATGGCATCTCAAGCCATGGATGGCCTAAACTCATCTCCCTCTACTCTCAAACACTTGGTATTCGAAGGTCCTAGGTCTGACCTCGAAGGTGTCCGTTCAGATCTCTACAGATCCAAGGTTCTATGGCCCTTGCCGGTTTTGCTCCGGCGTACAATGATGGTTTAAGCATGGTTCTAACCTCTCCGACTCAGATCGAACCTTTTCAAAGCCTTTCTCATTTTAGGGTTCCCCTGAAGCCCTAAGCTATTCGCGGTTTTCTCTAATTTTTTCTTAGATCTATTCTATATATGTGCTCTACTTGAGTTTTTAAACGTTTTCCCCAATTTTTCTTTCAAAAAATTACTTCTTTCCGATTTAGGGTTTCTGAAAAAGCTTAAAATGTTTATCCAACTCTTCTTTTCCTTTCTTTGTGTATATTTGTCACGCATGTGCTTCTACTGCTTTCTTATGTTATACATGTTCTTCTGTGTTTTGCTTTTCTACTGTGTTTTGTACCATGCTCGCATGTTTATCTTGCTGTATTTTCCTATATGATCTTTTGCTATGCTTTTCCGATATTTTTGTGTTCTTCTACTGTATGTATTTCCTACTGAGTTCTTAAGTTTTGTTTGCCTTCTACTGAACTCTGTTTAAGTCCCTTCTAAAAGGTTTTCTTAAACACGTTTCTTTTACTATCGTGACTATTCTCTCATTATGCTCTTACACTCTGTCTGCTTTGAATGTTATTTGTATTTGCTTGTCTTCTCATGAGATTCTGAAAAGAAATCTCTGAGCATGTTGCCTCCTCATCTTTGTATTTGACTCGAGTCGGAAACCCTAGAATTTGGGGATTTCCTCTGAGTTTGGTCATATGATCAAACTAGGGTTCTGTTTGAGGACCCTTGACTCTTTCAGACTTATTTCTGGTCTATGAACTAAGTGTGAACTTCTTTTGTTTCTACACAATTCTGATTCTCATACACTAGATTCTTCTATTGAATAGAATGACAAATTTCTTCATGTTTAACGTGTCTGTGTGCTTTTATATATAAGTAATCTTTCTTCAAAATGGTTTTCCAACTTGTGATTGATTCAGAATTCCTTCTAATAAGTTTAATTGATTGGTATTGATTTTACTTAAGTCGAAATCCTTCCCATCTTTCTTACTTGGTTCATTCATACGAAATCCTCAATTTCTGATTCACTAGCTGTTAACTAATTTCCTTTCCTTATTTGCACAAACCGTGTACTATCAAGACTTTGTCCTTAAATAAACCTCTATGTATTTACCCCTCTTGTACTGCTCTGGAAAAGTGTTTGATTGACCCATTTCCTTAATTATTTTGCCCGTTTGAAATCAGAATCCCTTAATTAAAAGGAGACCTTGTGTAATTGATTTCCAAACTATTTTCTTACCTATTTCTACTTGCTTTCTGCACTATAAAAGGGCACGACCCTTCTGCACTTTAGGACACCTTCAATTCAATACTTCTACACTTCAGACTTCACAATTCTCTTCTAAACTCATAGCATTCTGATTGCTCGTTTGCACTTTGGCTTTACAAGACTACTGCTTTCTCTTTGTTTGTTTTCTCTAAAACTAGTATGTCCTAATTTTAGTTTCAGCATCACCTCAATGTGTTTACTTAAAGTTTTTATATCCATGGCTACCTTACTGCTTATGTAGAGTTTAATATTTAACTTAATATGTTTATGTTCTATCGCATGTTTCTACTGTGAATCTTTGCTTCCTACCCTATTACCCCTATGGTTTGTAAGTGATGACTTAGGGCATGGCAACATGAGTTGTTGTCCATGACTTGAGTTCTGAACTAGTGAGGTCCTAACCTCTAACAGGCTGGAGGGTGTGCCAGCATATCCCATTGCTGAGTATGCCCATTAGCCTGCTTCTCTTGTGTTCTTGTAAATTCCCTACTCCTCTATACCCCTATATGCATTGATTTTTAAGTTGTTACCTTTTCCCCCTTTCCCCTTTTATAATTTCACTTCTGCACTTGCATTCTCTCCTAGCTTCTAGGTTCTGCCCCCCTCTTGTGAGCCTTGCCTTGGGACCTTAAGTTCCCTTTGAACTTGGACACTTGAGGGCTGGCCCTTCCACACTGCACTATGTTCTTAATTTTGTAACATTTGGGTGTGAGCACTACCCAGAGTCTATATGAGGCTCTTAGGGAACTCTGATACATCCAAAGATGAGAGAAAGGCTTTGGATCATGATCTTTAGAGTTGGTTCATCTCATATTTCAGACATGGAGTCTGAATTAGGCTCCCCTTGGTTGTACTTTTAATTTGCTTTTCTTATTTCATTCCGGGTTGTAATAACTTGTAATAACTATTGGGGATTTCTAGTGAAAAAGGAGGGAATCATGCATGCAAAAGGGGTAGATATCATAGGGAATCATTATACTTCTGCACTTCTGCATTTCATATAGATATCATGTTCATAGGGAATTATTATACTTCTGTACTTCTGCATTTCATATAGATATCATGTTCATAGGGAATTATTATACTTCTGCCCTTCTACGTTTCATATAGATACTATGTCTATAGGTTTCTGCACTTCTGCATTATATAGAGACCATGTCTATGGGTTTCTGCACTTTTGTATTATATAGAGACCATGTCCATAAGTCATTTCTGAAATTCTGCATATCATATAGATAATATGCCTATAGGACTTCCTGCAATTTGCATGTGCATCTGTCATTAGGCAAACCTGTTTATAGGAGTTAAATAACTAACTGCATATAGATGACTTGCCTATAGGATTTATGCATGTCAATAACAATGTTTTTAAAGTCAACAACGCCTAGAAAGCATGCTTATATGAATTAACAACCTAGTATGAAACGTTTTCGTTCACCTATAAGTCTAAAATCGGCAATGTCATTGTCCAACATCTGCAGAATTTTTTGTCAAAACTTGTCTTCCCTGAATAACTGACGGCCTCTTCTAAAATCAGTACACTTCATCTTTTATGAAACCAGTAGATATCATGCCTATAGGTTTCGTCTAACGCTTAGGCAAGCCTTAGGATAAAAAGTTATGACTGCACCAGTTTTTTTTTTTGTTAATTACAACCAGCGGGCAGGTCTAATTCGGACTTCTTATCTGAAAATATGTGATAAATCAATCTGCTTTCCCCTTTTAAGTTTTAATCAGACCCTAATCAGTACATGCAAGACATGCTAAACTATATGCTTTTCTTTGATTTAAGGAGGTCTGTTTGAGCCGTATCTGCTTATGTGCATGCCCAATACTTGTTATACGTGCTTCTGTTTGTCGCCTTAGTATTTTTACCTTTTGAAACCACAAATAAGCCAACTTTTCCACCATTATAGGATTAGTAGTCCCAAGCACCTTCGGGGCTGATAAGATTGGGGCGGGTAA